GCTTGGGACCATTCCATCCTCTGTAAACAATCACATTCAAAATCCTCTATACAATATTCTTGTCCTCACTAACATTACGAAAAATGAAGTCATTTCGCAGATGCCAACATTCATGAATGGTTTCAGCAAGAGCCATTCTAACCAAATCAGATTTCCAGCCCTTACCACGATACTGCCTAAGAATCCAATTCATTTCCTCAGACCAGAAACCAAAAACATGTATAATCCAGAGCTAATGCAGCACAGCTTGCCAAATTCTCTTCAACTTAGTACACTCGAAAAAAAGGTGATCAACAGTTTCCTCTTTATCACAAAACACACACATGTTGTTAGATATCATACCAAACCTGAACAATCTAGCCTTAGTTGCTAAGCTCCCATAGCAAGACATCCAGAGAGTAAATATGGACAGGGGTCGTGCCTTATTTAGGAGGATGAGGTTACACCATATAACTTTATCCCTGACCGGAATCAATTCATTGTACACTTTCTTGGTGTAGAACTTCCCCTCGTCCATATTTACTTAAATGTTATTATTTCTATGTAAATAAGAAAAAGTTTAATTTTTAATTAGGAGACTCGCATTGGTTTTAACTACGTGCCTACGTATCCTCTTGCAAAGAAATCATAGTCTATTTCATAGTTCGTATGGTTTGGTTAGTTTTTATAGGATTACTTAGAATTGCTTTCGAATTTATCTTTGAGCCTTGTCTGTGTTTGAAAAGAGTGATAGTAGATGCAGTTCGCAATTAATTTTGAAAGTAATCATATTTAATCTTTTTTTTGAAATATCTTGCTTTTTATTAAGTTAGTAGAAAAATGATTTGATTGGTTAGCTGTTTTGAAATTGATTGGAGTTTTAAGAAGAGTTGATCTTCATTAGAATTAGATCGTATTGGACAAAAAAATTCATTTGATTTGTCTGTGAATTTTAATTATTTTGATTTGAATAACTAATTGATAAGCGTTAAGTCAACCTACTAATTTTTCGAGGAAGTTGAATCATTTTTTTTATAAAAATGTTAAATTAATTTAATTAAAAAAAGAGTTTGGTTTTAAAAATGCATTTTTTTAGTGTTTTATATTTTTAATGTTTTTTGGTTTTTTTAATAATGAATAAAAAAGTTAAGATAAAAAAGTTTTTGTTAATAATACTAACAAAAGGGATCAAGTTGAAAAAAAAAAATTTAATAAGAAGAAAAGTTAAAGTTAAAAAAAAAATTTAAAATTAAAAAAAAAAATTTTTCTATAATAATAATAATAATAATATCTTTTAAAGTTACAGAAAATATTTTTTATAAAAAAATATGAAAATAATAATAAAAAACACCAATATCATAAATCATACCTAAAATAAATAGAAATCAAACAATCAAACCAAAACTCAAACAAGAATAAATTCTAACCTACATCAAATACAATATTCATACACATGCTTAAAGATATGAAGAAAAAAAATCAACCTGAAATTTGGTGACCAAATTAAGCGGTTCCCTCCATGATTCTTTTCTTTTCCTCAGTACTTTTCTCCTTTCTCCTTCGGTGCAAGATTCCCCTTTTTCCCTTCGGTACAAGATTCCTCTTTAGTTGTTATTCTTCGGTGTGAAAAACAACAATTTTTTGGAGAGTGAATTTGTGAATTGTGGATGGAAAAAGTGTAGAAACTCTGGACTATTTATATATGAAATTTTAGGTCAAAAATTAAATGTGGTTCATCTATTTTTGACATGATTTTGTAATTTGAGATTCAATTGTGTCTTGGGGTCCAAGTCTGTATGATTTTGATAGTATCTATGGGCTTGTATCTAGATTTAATTTGATGATGAAAAATAGATATTTTTATGAGATTTTTAAATTTTTGACTAATTAGTGCAAAATTAAAGATTTAACAAAAAATATTGATAAATTAAAAATAAAATTAAAATATTTATTTATAAAAGAAAATTTTAATTAAAAAAGAAAAAAAAACTTTTTCTAACCCTTTCGGTTTACTTATCATGAATTGATTAATTAAAATAAAAATAAAAAAAAAAATCTAAATTTAAATCTAAATAAATATTATCACAATCTAAATTAAAATTAGATATACTCAAAAAAATAAAAAATATATAATAAAAAATAGTGTTAAAATAAGTTAAAATTAAAATAATCATAATAATGATGAAATAAAAAATTAGTAAAAATAATAATAAATTCTAAATATATATTAATAAAACTAAAATAAAAATTTAATATTCTAAAAATTAAAATTAAAATCAAATCAAATATCGAAGATGGAAATAGAAACTAAATCAAAGATTAAAATTAAATATTGAAAATGAAAATAGAAACTAAATCAAAGATCATAAAATTAAATCTAAAATTGAAAATTAAAATTAAATCAAAATTTTAAAATTATTATAAAAATCAAATCAAAATTTTTAGTGTGAAAAGTTGCATAGAATAAACTTTGATTTATTTTTTAAAATAATGATTTTTTTTTTGTCTAAAAGGTGGAATTTGAACTCAGGTTTTCTCATACTTAAAATTTTTTCCCTCACTTCATTACCCACTAGACCATTGTACTTATTCAAAATAAAAATGCCGCTTAGAAATTATGAAGGGTGAGAAATATTTGTTATTTAAGAAATATAAATAATTTAAAGTAAAATATTATATATTTTTTAAATAAGCAAAATAAATCAATGTTAAAATATTAGTATAAATAAACCAAAAATTTTATAAAACCTAAGTTTGAAATAATTTGAGTATTAGAAATAGGGCAAGTAAATTTGGGGTATGACAATACACAATTGGACGAAGAAATTTGTCGGATGAAAACAAGAACCTTGTTTGGGATCTCAAGTGTAGTGAATCTTTATTTCTATGTGAATTACCTATTGTCTATAGACTTTTCTCTATTCTTTGAGGTAGTTCTCTCTCTCTCTCAAGGTCTTTATTCCTAGCCGTTATCAATGAGATTGAAGACATTCTATTCGTGAAGACTGAATATAGGTATTGTTCTTTGTTCGTTGCTTGTGATCGTTCGTCCAATTCTTCATCAAAATGTTTAATCGCCATAAGAGATAATTGTTTCTATCACTGATGATACCCATTTCTAAGAATGGACTTAAGAAAAAAAAATTAGCTTTTCAATGTGTATTGTACGACTTTCCCTTAATAATATTCATCTTAAATAGGCTTGTATAATACTAAGAAAGTCAATAAAACTCCCAACTAAACCAACATGCTAAAACAGAGCTCAAAGAAAAACTAGAGAACAAATATTTCTTTTCGAAAGAGAACAGAATATTATAGATAGAAAGAGTAGCAGGATCTTCAAACCCTTACAATTAAAGAATTAGAGGACATAGACCTATCTCTCAATAAGCAAAATGAGGATTCAACAACCATATACATATGATGATATACTATTTCTATATATGATACTATAGAGAACTATGACCTAAACTCCAATATACATATTAAATCATCTCCCAACAAAATCTACTAAGTTAAGCCATGAAAATTTTACAGAAAGTTGTTTGAAATCCCAATACTATTTTCATGTGCTTCCAACTTCCATTGCATCCATAACTTTCTATTCATGCTAGCTTTATATATACATGGTTTAACTCCACTTTGATTCCCCAATATTGCTCCCAAAAACTGAATTAGATGGACTTATAAGAGTCATAATCTTTTGGAACAAGTAGACATATCCTGCAAAAAGCTATGTTTAAAAATTTTGGACAAAAGAAAAGTTAAAACACAAATTTATAAAATAATTTAACCAAATTTTAATTACTCCTTTCTTTACTCATGAAATATGATAAAAATTAAATTAAAACATGACTTAAAATATCATTATGATATGTTATCATCTTGTATTTATGGTTGTGTGTGTGAGTTTAAATATATATATATATATATATATATATTATCCTTAAAAAACCAGGCATGGCATTAGTTGGTAAGATAAATGATGTGAATGAAAAGGATAAGCGAAAATGAGAGATGTGAAAGCATCTGAGTTGATAAGAGCAGAGACATGTTTGGCCAATGAAATAGAAGGACACTCGTGACTCTGCCAACCCAAAACTAAAATATATCTAAATATGATAACATTTGAAAAGGAGAAGACAATAGAAGAAACAAAATCCTGCACTACGTCGCTGTCTTCACTCCATGCAAAGTTAATAAAATGTCAGTCATCACACCTTTTCATTTTCAAAACAAATTTTATAACTCCACTCCTTGCTTCCTTTAATATCTAATAGTATCATTTACTTATATTTATGTATTAATATAAAGAAATTGTTGATATTTATGAATCAATAATTTCTAAAAGAAATAAAAAAAATAAGAAATATAAAAATCGTTCAAAATGTCAAAGTATTGTTAAGAGATTACGCACTATATTAATTACTTGAAGGATTTTTATGTAATTATTTTCTTAATTAAGAATACTTTAAGGATTGATTATCTTATTAGTTATCATTTTAGAAATATTATATGTAAAAAAATTATTTATAAACTCCTATGCTTTAAAAAAAATGTATGTCATAAAATATTATTTTACCTTTATATTCACTATGTTAATCACTCTATTTGTAAAAAAAATACTAAACATTCATAATTATTATTAACAATAAAAAAATAAAAAATTTAAATAATATTTCATCGATCTTTTTAGTTACTAACGATTTACACTTATTTAATTCAAGTAACATTTCCTCCTCCCAATGATATTAGTGTTAGATATTTTTTATAAAATAATAATTTATTCAATTATTGATCATAATATAAAAGCTTATCCAAAATGTCCTTCAAAATTCAACTCCTTGTCCAACAAATAGGAAAAAGTACTACTCCCTACCCTAGCACATTTACCAATGAAATCTTACTTTAATCATCCTACATAGAAATAAGCAATAATCATATAAAGAAAGCAGTGATTTTTTGTTACGTACCTTTTGTATTTTTTTTTTCAATTGCATGTCCAAGAAAGGTTCACACAATCACTCAAAGTTCCCTCCAAAAGCTGCAGCGTTTTTTTCAGCTTCCACGTTGAAGTTTCGTTGTTCTCTTTGTGAAACTCCTCCTCCATTCATGTTTCTCATTACTATTTGACCAACTCCAAGAAAATCTCTAGTGAGTCCATCAGAACCATTACCATTAACCTTTGTTGCTACAGAAGAAGATGAACCACCATAGCTTCTTAGTAATGAAGAAGCAGTGTTATTGTTGTTTGTGCTTGAAGTTGCACCCATTTGAGAAGCTTTTTGAAGAAGTGCAGTAGCTGACATGTGAGGTGAGACAGGATTTGTTTGGTTATTATTATGACCACACGTTAGTGGATTTTCAGAAAAGAATCCTTCATGGTTGAAATTTTCAGAAAAAAAACTGTTATCATTGTTGATGATGTTGTTGTTGTTGAGTTCAGACAATGATATTAGTCCTTGGAATGTTTGAGAATGTTGTTCATGATGAAAATTATGGTTTGGTTGTTGTTGAGTGATGAAATTGAATGGAGGGGTGTGAAGAGGATGTTGTGGAGGTGGGGATAGAATGTTGTGGTTGCCAAAACGCAGGATTTCAGTGGATTGGTTGGTGTCGTTTTGGTCATGAATTGATGAGATTTGTTGTGGAGGAATTTGAGACAAGGCTAATGAGATATTGTTGTTGCTAATGTTTCCAAATAGTTGAGAGTTGTTAATGGAAGTGTTGGTGATTAAGGTTGGTAATTGTTGTGGTTGTCTTGAACTTTCTTGAGCAAGTGCATCACAAAAGGCTCTATGTGTGATGAAACTGTCTCTTCTGCAAAAATAAACCAACATCTCATGTTAAGAAATGTTAAAAATTTGAATATGAAAATAACTATACTTAAAACCATATTAAGGATCATTTTACAAGTCATATTCATGGTTCAAATCAAACCAAATTGTTTCATAGTGATGCATTGTATTACTCCTAATTTTGAGTTCTAACAATTCAAAACTATAAAGGTCAGGCCGTCTTTAAAGACGTGTAATGAAGACTACGACAGTTCAAAATTTAACAGTTTTAAACTATGGTTAAAAAGACCTTTCACAATTAAATTATTATTAAATAGAGTTCGTATAAGATATCCTATAGATAAATTGTGATTAACATACACAGTGTCTCTAAACGACATTGACTAAGGTGATCGAACAAGTGAATGTGGTCTTGTGGTAGGAGACAATTTTAGTATGGTACTTTCTTAGTGTAATTTAGAAGGCATTAAAAAGAGAATCTATCCATTTGTAAGTAATGTCATGCAATGTTGTGTACTCCTATAGTTGTGAAACAATGTGTAGGTCAGCTCCTCCATCAATTTAAATAATAATGCACTACTAGAGAGAACGAAATAGTACAAATTTGAAATTGAGGGGAAAATAGAGGGGGGTATTTTAGAAACTGACGTTATCACAAAAAAAGAAGCTCCTGCAAAGGAGCACGTTATTGAAACCTAAAAACATCTTGTCAATCCACAACACAACAAATATGGTAACAACAATTCAAAACCTCTCTAACACTAATTTTTCTTGTCTGTTTTTTATAGGACCCAGTTTCTCTAGTTCACTATAGTTGAAAGTACACGCAATCACGTATTTAGCATTTCAATAATTTTTCAGTCAAGATAAAACAATTTTAATTGTTTTATTTTGATCTGACTCAAAATGGGTTGTTTTTTTGGGAATGTAATTTCTTTTTTTATACAGTTATTTTTGTAAAATTTTAATGGTATTAAACTTTTTTTGATAAAACATTTTTAATCATTTTCCTATAGTTTTATAATTAATAATAACTTGTTAAAAAAAAATATTCTCTTAGAGTATAGTATATTTAAAGACTAATAAAAGCTGTAAATAATTTAATACGACTATTAATTTTCGTATTTTATATCACAAAGTTCTGTATTTTTAAAAACAATATGGGAGGTTAAAAGAAAGATTAATATAATATAGATCTTTAAAAAATTGACTCTTTCAATTTAATTAAAAATTCATTATAACAACAAACAAATTATATTTTGGTTAAATTGATTGAAAATAATAAGATGCACGATTAGATCTAGTGCGTATTAAAAGTCCTTTTAAAATAGTAGTGTTTTTTTAGGTAAAATGAGATAGAAACTTTTATTTTATCTTTTTCAATACTTAAATTTTTATTATTTTTTTCTTTTTTTTATTTATTTGAATTTAATACTAGTGTTGTTTCTTCCGTGTGTTTTTTCTGAATTTCAAAGATTATTCACGTGGGAGGTGTTTCCTTTCATTTCACTTGGTCACCCTACAAAATGAGGGCAAATAATGACAAAGGAAAGCTTACGAGAGAAAGAGAGTACACAGAATCTTAACCAAAATATGGAAGGAAACCAAACTCAATAAAAATAAGAAAAATATCTAAAGCCTTTTCTTCCCTTTGGCCACTAAAAACCTAACATGCCCTAATCCAAATATCAGACCTAATAAACTAAAGCAAATCAAACAATTATTACTTCTATTGAATGGTGATAGACTCGGACACCAGACACGACCACGACCAAATGTTAAAATCTCCGTATTAACACAGACATCTTTTTTTATAGATGTTTTAGCTTGATTGCAACAAAAACCCTAATTTGAAGCCATTTGATAAAGCATGTCAAATTGCATGAACAAAAGTGAATAGTGAAAGAACTAGTGATACGTAAATGGTAATTAATTAGTTAGGTTTTTACTATTTACCTAGAGAAGAGAGTGCCACAGTCACATCTATACTCCCTAGTCCCACAAGTTTTAGAATGAGCTTTCCAATCAGATTGAACAGCATATTTCTTAGAACACTTTTCACATTTCCACTTTTTCTCACCGTGCTTTCTAGAAAAGTGCTTCTTGATCCCAGTTAGGTCTCCAAGTGCTCTTGAAGGGTCATGGTGAACACAAGAAGGTTCAGGACATAGATAAACCTTTCTCTTTGGCTCTTTATTACTCTTTTGCTTTAGCTTCCAAGGTAGATTGTGTCCTCTTCTATGAAGTTGCAAATTTTGCTCTCTTTGAAACCCTTTTTGACACACTTCACATACAAATCTGTTTGTTGCCATTAGACTCCTTGGAGAAAGTGTTATCACTTCAGAATCTGGATCTGTTTTCATTGAAAAAAAAAAAAAAGCCAAACAAAATTATCAAAATTAAATTGACAAAGCCTATTAAGAACACAAACTGCGCCGCTACTTAGAAATTAATGAAAGAGATGAATTAAAAAAAATTGATGAAAATTTGAAGAAACTTGCATGGTGTTCCAGGTTGGTTTCTTCTTTTCTTCTGAGGTGGTGGTGCAGATGGACTTGTTGATGATGATGAATTTTGTTGATTCATCTCACTCTGATCCTCTTCAGTTCTTGTAAAGAAAGATGCTGCTGAAAATGATGCATCCATATCATGAAAAACCTCTAGAAATTTGAAAGGAAAAGAAAAAACCTAATATGATTTTTTTTCTCTCATGTTAGCTTATTTATATATGAGAAATTTTCTGAGGTAGCTTTTTTATGAATCTCTTCATTGATTTGGTGTCATGCATATACAGAAACACCTATCACACATGCACCACTTCACTTGTACTTATTTGGTTGTTTTCTGGCTTTTTTTTTTCTTTGTTGAAACTTTTTTCCAGATTTTGTTAATGCTTTTGTGAGAATGAATTTGATAATTTCAATGAGAAATGAGAGGGTATGTCCTACGGTTTTGTGGACCCTAACTTTTTGTCATGTAACGACATATAGGATGTGTAAGCAGCAAGAAACAGCTATAGCTATATGCACCACACAAACACTCTCTCTCTCTCACTTTATTGTTTCGCATATTCTCGCTCACTTCCAGACAAACTTTCACTTGTCACCCTGCCCCACTTGAACCTTACAAAAATGTTCAAGGAATCAGAAAAACAAAAAGTGATGAAACTCAAAGTAAAGTTACTTTTAAATTCTAAAATTAGTAAAGTATTAAGAGGATGACATATTTTTTTGCTTACATGTAAATAGAATGAGTTTCTCAAATATGATTTATATTTTGGATATGTGAAATACAATAATATGAGAGTTTGTTTGCGTAGTAAAAGATTATGCCATTTGATATTCTATAATATAAATATATATTATTGAAAATCAAAGTATAATCGAAATTGTAATTTTTTTTAAATGTTGTATTTCAAAAATAATTTTTATGAAAATCTATTTAAAATAGTTTCAAAATTAAGTGATTATTTGAAATTTTGATATCTAAATTTTTTTTCAATAAAATGATGAAATATATAAAATAATATTTTAAGAATAAAGTTCTCAATTCACACTTTCACGATTAATAACTTCAACAGATCTGGCGCCAAGGGGGAGTTACGCAAGATGTCCACGCCCCTTGGTACCCAAGATGTCTATGCCCCATTGGTAAAAAGGTCAGGGACAGGTGACAAAATGGATAATCTCGATCGACACATGGAGAGTACTGGAATATTTTTGGCACTTGTCTCTTTTTCTAACAAACTTTGGGCTTTCCTTCATCATGGTTGGCTAATAGTAATTGGCCATTAATAGTCTATGAGTGAGCGCTCACTAATCAATGTGACTCCTGTAGACTCCTTCATTGACAAAGGTAAGTACCGAGGAAGTTTCATTAGCGCTCAGGCACCTTATCATATGAAAGGTTTTTCCCATCTCGAACAACTTCCCTCTTACCATGGTATATTTCGTAGCTAACATTTTGGTCTTTCTCAATTCAGCTTCTTTTGAAGCAAGATCTTCTATTGTCTAGTAGCATACTATAGTGGCCATCCAAATATGGGTGCTGGCGATGCTTATGGCGTTGACATCCTCCTTATTTGTGTCGGGCGCACACAAAGTTTCTTATATTACTGTTTTGTTATCGCCTAGCTTCTTGGTGCTGACGAACTTTGATAAGAGATCTTGTTGAGCATTCTCCTGCCTTATCGAACCCCAAAAGAACATTTGGCGGGATTTAAGTGCATGTTGTAACTCTTGTTTGATTTCAAGATTTCATCTAGGTCACTATAGTGATTTCCTTCCACCTAGATCTTTACAACCATGTCATATGTACTTGCTAAAAGTAGAATGGTGAGAAAAATGAGATTCTGCTTACGTGAGGATATATTGTGAGAGACATTGTGTTTTCACCCTAAAATTGATGCTTATCCTTGTGAACTCAGAGGTTATGGAATTTATAGAGAGTTTGTGGGCTTAGCTATGAGATATTTGTTGAACATGTGACTTCATACACAAGAGGGGGTGAATTGTTGAGGTTTGTAAAATGATAATTTAAAATATAATTATCTTCTAAAATTGTGTTTGAAAACATTTTAATTTAAACGTTTAAATATGAAGCCGAAATTAAGTGATAAATAAAATAGTTAAGGAAAGAGAGATAACATTGTGAACTTATAGAGGTACGGTATTAAAGAAGTGACTTATTCATCTCCTAATGAATTAATCTTGAGAGTATCAAATAATGTTGGAGAGCTTTTAGAAGATTAGTCTAACAAACTCCCTTATACAAGGAAAATAAAGTTTCACGCTAACCTCCAACCAAACAACAACTAAAAGAATGAAGCGCTTAGTCTTTACTCCAATAAATAACTTTTCGAGCAATTAGTCTTTAATCCAAACTGAGATTTTGCATAGGTTGATCTCGAACCAAAATGGAGTTTTGATTTGGCTATCCTCTTAACCGAATCGAGCTTTTACACAGGCTGACCACAAACCAAACCAAGACTTTTTACGGGCTGATCTCAAACATGTTGAGCTTTTACACAAGCTGAACTCAAAAATTGATGGAATAGTCACCATCATCAGATAGTTTTAAAGATATCACTGGTGATCATAAATCATAATTCTTTAGATTGATTTGGAGGAATAGCTTAATCAACCATCTTGTGCATCTTTGGCCGCTTGAGCTAGCTTTAGTAATTGCTTGACTTCATGTGTTGTTATCATAAAAGCCACTTCAAATATTTGTACTACTTAATGTGTTGTCGTCATCAAAACCATGACATTACCATGACTAAGAATTGGCTTCTTGAGTCTTGTTATCCATGAGGTTCTTGATTATACCTTCAAGGACATGGTTCCTGATCGCGACTTTATGAGCCTGTCGGGTGTAGTGACCGCAAGTGCACATTTTATCGTGTATTTTTAAAAGATATCAAACCCATAAGAACTGATGATCAAACTACTGTTATCTTAAGGTCACTGTGTAAAGCTAAGGCTAATTATAAAATTTAGGTGTTTGGGTTTAATCGAGAATTAACTAAAATCTAATACTTAATAACGGGACACCGGTATGTACTTTGTCAACTTCAGGGATTCAATAAGTCATTGGCATTTGTTTTCAGTATTAAAACGTTGTTTCAGTGGAAACTATTTATTTAAAAACCCTCGTCTCACACTTTCGTTCTATCGATTCAGGTCATATTATTAAACTCAAATGAGCGCTCTCGCTGTTTCATTTAAAATTCAAAAGTATTTTTTGAAAACAAATAGAGTCCAATTAATTTTAAATCTCTCACGCTGTTTTTTAAATTAATGTTTAATAACCGCTATCTGGTTAAAACCTCAAACTCTCGCTCTGTTGATTTTAACCTTAGACGGTCTTTTACTCTCGTACAAAAATAATTAAATATTCAAATTGGAAATTAAAACCAGAAAAGTGCTTTTGTAAAATATTAATACCAATTATTACCGAATCCCTTTGGTTTAAGATTTACATACCGGTATCGGAGAATTTAGCCAGACATAATTTTATTGCAGGATAACATAAAATTAAAATATAAATTTAGTAACACATGAATGGTAAGAATAAATAAATTATACTTAAAATAAGAACCTGAAATTAAATACTGAAGCAAATAATTTGAGCAGCGCGTATCCTCCACAAGTCGACAGGATTAACTTGTAATGAAATATCTTGAATTAAATAAAATGGACCTAAACGAATTCTGGAAGCTAGGAAGAAAACTAGAGTTACAATATTCCTCCGATGTGAAGAAATAATGCTTTAATGGTGCGGGTTTTCTATGCTTAAGGAATTCTACTAAAATGGAAAACAAAATACTAAAAACTATGAAACTGAAATAATAGTAAAGTTGCAAAACTGGAAAATATTCTCAAGTTATAGTACGTAGAAGAAACAATAAAAATAGGTGCAAAGTCTGGAATGTAACAATGTTGGTAGCTGATTTTAATTTATAGATTTCAAAAGTGAGCAAAAATAGGAGGAATCCCCATGATGCTCGTTCTTCCATCATGGAGAAGAATCCGGCAAAACTGTCTGTTATGTCCGCTTCATAGAGATATTTCTGTAGCAGTTATATGGGTTGCCACGAGCGTCATGTGCGCTGTGACGTGGGGCACACATCTTGAAATTGTGTCGGTTGGGACATGAAGCATGCCGAGGGGCACACTTTTGCAAGTTGTGACGGACGGCACGCGCCTGTGGCGGACGACACACCTTTTGGTACAGAATGTTGCTAAATGGCCATTACTTCTTTATTTCTCTATTGTTTTTCTTCCTTTTCTCATTTATTCCTTGCATAAGCTAAGTACCTGAAATATGCTGCAAATACTACGAATAGAGATAAAATGTGACGTAATAAATGAAGAATCAGAAGTTTTGTCAATGTAAATCAGGCGAAAAATGCTATAACTTTTCGTGTTATCAAACTCCCCTAAGCTTGAACCTTTGCTTGTCCTCAAACAAAATAGTAGTTTAAAAATAATAAAGCATAAGTTAAAAGAAAATACATGAGGAGTGATATTCGGAAAATACAAAAAGGGCAAGCTTATTACTTGGATTTTGTATTCGACTCTGGTTTTCTTACTTCATCATCGGTTTTTACTTCAACAAACGCCAAAGCAAATCTCTGCTTCGCAGGCTAGTCAGATTTCCTTTTTGCATCATCTTTTTGATATCATGAGAATACTTAGTTTCTTGTGTGTTATACTGTTGTTGATATGAATTGATTGAAAACAAAGTTGTTGTTGTTAAAATTGTGAGAAACTGAATTATTGTTGCTTTCTAATAGAGAATGTTGATTTACTGTGATATCGTAAGAATAACGTAAAAAAAAAGCGTATAAAAGATCGAAAAAATAGTTTATTTTCGTTATTAATTAACTGTGAGAAAACTAGGGAGTTTTTGTTGTTGATTCACGGTACAATGAAGTCGTTTTCAAATTTTGTTTTGGTTGTCGTTATGAGCAATAAAATAAAGTAAGAAGCATATGAAGTTTTGACTAAAAGGAAAGATTGAGAGAGCAGATGATGAGAAACCGTGGGAAAACAGAGGAAGTATGTGGTAGATAGAGAGTAATATCGATTGAGAGAAGGAGAAAAATCATAAGAAAATTATTGTTGAAGAAGAGGATGAACAAAGATGTGGAAGCGTGAATAAAAAAGAGAGAGTGTTAAAAAAATTGTTTTTCACGATAAAAAAGCATAGGAAATAGAATTGATTGGGGAATACAAAATTTAATTTTGAATTTTCCTCTTCCCTATACATCTGCGGTGCCCTTTCCCTTCAAATTAGGGTTTTCAAAACCCTTTCTTCTCCCTTAAAGACAGGTCCGGGTTTGGGCTTGTTTTGTTTAGCCCAACCTATTTCTCAAGCTTCAGTTTTTGTATTAACGGAAGTGCAAAAATTACGAATGAGTAAAATGGTGCAACGGTTGAGGCATTAGTTGGCAAGCGTAAGGTGTTGGGTTTGAGACCCATGGGGAGCATTTTTACCATTTTTTTTTGTTTCCATTAAACTCATTGATTGTTTTTGTTTCTTAATTAATTTGAAAGACTATAATAAACGAATGAACAACATAGCATGATGGTTAGTGTATGTGTTTGGATTCATAAGGTCCCAGATTCAAGCCTCCCCTGGGACATTTTTTACCGTTATTTTGTTTTCTCATTTTAACCCAACTCTTTCATTTTTAATCAAAATTATAAATATGATAGAAAAATAATCTGGTTTAGTGGCAAGGCAAAAGAGTAATAACCCAAAAGGCATGAGTTCAATCCTTAGCTCTATCTTTTTTAATATTCTAACTTTCAAGTTTTGTTTGATTATTTTATTTTAAATTCATATAAAAATACCAAAAATATTAGTTTAGGTTTATAATTATTTCTTTCCCCTTATAAAAATACCAAAAAATATATTAGTATAGTTTCTAGTCATTTTATTTAGTTTAGTTTAACTTTAGTAATTTAAAATATCAATTTAGTTTAGATTTAATTTAATAATTCTTTTTAGAATTTTTTAGTTAGTAACTTTATAATTAATTTGTTTAGATTTAATTTCGTAAATTTAGAATTTTAATTTAGTCCAGATAACTTTTGTTTTAGTTACATCTCTATTCTACATTTTCTCTTTCTTTTGCTTCCTAAAAAGGCCATAAAAATATGTTAGTTTAATCTTGTCTATATTTTTATTTTATTTGTTTAATTATTTAAATTGTTAATTGTTTAATTTCTTTTCGATTATTTGATCTTTATAATTTCTTTTAAATTGTTTACTATTTTTTCCCTGTTTTGTGGTTTTATACCCCCTTCCCCAAAGCATTGTAATAGCGTAAGACCTTTATTTTCTGTTTTTTTACTGCTTTTACTTATTACCGTAATTAGGCGTGTATGACAAAATTTAAAATCAACCGTTAGATAACCCTAAATATAAAATAAATAAACTTAATTGAATGACTTTTCACACGCGCACCTCTAGGGTAATCTCACTTGTAACCTTCAAAATGAAACACGGTCATGTCCCTCGAATGTGGGATGCTTTAGCAAAGACCCTCGGTTAAAAGATCGTAGTCCCTCGATGACCCTTCGATGTTGCCTTCGGTAAACGATCTTAGTCCCTTACGATAAATTGGTAAAGCGCCCTAAGAGTTTCTTTTATGACTGTATGATGACCCGCGCCTGTCCCTCACATCCAACGATAGGGCTTCCTACTAACTAATGGTAGGATAGCACTATCTAAAGGAGGGGGAAAAAACAAAGACTTCTTGAGTAGGTAAATAGTTCTTAATCGCTTGCTCGCGAATATTTCAAAATATTTTTCACAAAACAACACTTTCTTTCAATAAATATTTTCAAAATAAATATTTTGTATACATTTTCAACAATACGAGAATCACTAAAAAATTGTCGTACTTAGGCATTTTCAAAATATTTTAAAACATACACAAGTACAAAGCATTTCAAAAATGAGCTAGAGATTAAGAGCCCGTAGATAACTACGGATGAAAAGGGTGCTAATACATTCCCTTTTCATAACCTACCCCCTTACTCAGAAAATTCTCAAAAGGTCTTTCCTATTCTTTTCACCCTTTCCTTTATTAGTTAAAAGAAAAGTCGGTCGCGACTCTTGCTATCCGCAATATTTGCGATAAAATGCAAAACCAAGTCAGTTCTCCCACCGTATTACACATTGTTTACAATAAATTTTAATAAATTAATTTGTGTACAAACTATATTATTTACCCAGAATATTACATTATTTACATAGAATATTAAAGTAAAAATTAATTTTTCAATGAAGATTAGATGTTGGATATTTTGCTTGAATTTTTTTATGATATACAACAAAAAAGGGTTAGATAAATAAATGAATTTCTACTCTAATAAATATTTAAGAACACAAACCTTAAACCCAAATAATTTTCTGCTCTTGCAATCCATGATAGAGAACTTTTTATGGCAAATGTTTTCACAAGAAAGACAATAAGATATATAGTTGTGGATGTAGATAGCTTAATTTCAAGCGCTTCATGTTTCATTATTAAATTTTGATATTAATAATGCTTTTATAATAGAAAGAATGTCTTTTTGGTTTCATGCAAATCACAAATGGTAGTGTCTTAAGCATTAATAATCATTAAATGGATGACAAAGATATGTTTAAGGATGGTAAATATCCTTAAAAAATATGCTTAACTATCCCCTCGCTTATGACAAAATTGAGGTAAAACGTATTTACCCCTTGGTTTTTTAAAAAACAATTACATTGTTTACCATAAATTCTGATTCATCATCGTCGCGAGAGAACAACAAATCTTTACTGTAATCCAGATTTTGTTGCATATCTTTTGTGCACATTCTTTTAAAGTTATATGATTTGCATGCATCCAACTTCTAATAAGTTATTCAAGGCTGATCTCCCTTCTTTGTTTAACTTGAAGAAAAAATGTTGGCAAAATACCCTTTTTGGTCCCTTAAGTTTACCTCGGGGGTCCATTCTTGTCCCTTATCTTTAAAAAGTTCCAAAGTGGTCCTTTAATTGTTCAAAAAGATCCACGTTAGTCCTTTCCGTCCAATTTTGACTAACGGCGTCAATTTTTACTTGGGTGGAATCTGATGTGGCACCTGAACACTCGTGTGGCATTTGTTCATCATTAATGGTCATCAAAACTCTCAAAACATTTTGTCTTAAGACATTATTCGGACCCAGGACATATTGGTAGCTTCACAGCATGCTTACCACTGAGCCATAAGGCCTTTGAGTTGTAGAGATACCGGTAGGTAATAATACCTTTTAGTTAACTTGGAAAACATAAGGGGGTGATGGTTTCCTTTCCGCATTATTTTCATAGTGTCAATCTGTTTTGTGTTACAGTGTCCATTTAGTGGAACTTCGAGATACCAGCGAACTATATGCAATGAAGGCAATGGAAAAGTCGGAAATGATGAATCGTAATAAGGTTTGAATATTTCTAAGAAAGTTAGATTATTTTTCTTTTTAATAGGAATTTTGCATGTTGAAAATCACCTTATTATGACAGGTTCATCGAGCGTGCATTGAAAGAGAGATTATATCCTTACTATATCATCCTTTTATTATTACTACAGTCTCTCTCTCTCTCTCTCTCTCTCTCTATATATATATATATATATATATATATATATATATATATATATATATATATATATATATATATATATATATATATATATATATATATATATATATATATATATATATATATATATATATATATATATATATATATATATATATATATATATATATAGTCTTCTAATGTTCACTTAAAGCAATCTTGATTTAACTAGATAAAATGCTTGAAAATTTTTCCAACAAAATGGCTTAGCAGTGTTATTGATTTAGGAAAGTCTTACAGACTAATAATGGCAGTGTCTATTAAGTATTGGCTGTTTACCAACTGTTCGGATATTCCATTCATTTTTACAGACAGACACGCATGCATGTTTGATTACTGACTTCTGCCCTAGGGCTGAGTTGTTCGCGTTACTCGGCAGACAACCTATGAAGATTCTAAAAGAAGATTCAGCAAGGTATTTTTAGGTTTTCCTTTTTTTTTTTGTAATCTTCTTGGGCTGTGTGATTTCTTAAAATTTTCGGTATCAATAATGGAGACAATCCTTTGTATGCATCCAGATTCTATCCAGCAGAGGTTGTTATCGGTTTGGAATATCTTCATTGCTTGGGTACGCTGCTCATTATATCATCCATTTATTTGTTCACCTTAAGGATTAGCTTTAGTATAGGTTACTAATATTCTTTGAAGATGGTGAATTAATAACATTAGTTGATCCACTTGTGTCACTATAACTCTTACTGTTGGTTCTTCACTTTGAAGAATTGCATTGCTCTTTACTATGTAATCTGAATATTGTTGTATATCATTTATAAAATAAATCAACAAGATGTAAATGGACCAGTGGTAAGCATGATGTGAAGCTACTAACATGTCTTGGGTTCGAATCATGTCTCAAGACAAAAAAATAGAGAGTTTTGATGACCATTAATGATGAACAAATGCCACGTGAGTGTTCAAGTGCCACATCAGATGCCACCCAAGTAAAAATTGACGTTGTTAGTCAAAATTGAACGGAAAGGACTAACGTGGACCTTTTTGAACAATTAAAGGACCACTTTGGAACTTTTTAAAGATAAGGGACGAGAATGGACCCCGAGGTAAATTTAAGGGACCAAAAAGGGTATTTTCCAAAAATGGACCCCAAGCTTCTTTAAGTTCAAAGACTTCATTATCTGGAAAAAATGTTTTCGTGGCAAATGCTTTCACAAGAAAGAGAACAAGATATATAGTGGTGGATGTAGATTATTTGTTGTGGATTGATGTCTTGGCAGTATGTTGAACGTTGTTCCTTTATGAATGTAGGGTATAAATTCGTTGTTGAAGTTGTCTAACCAATTCCCTCGGTTATGTTAAAAAATCAAGGGAAAAAGTATTTTCTTTTTAAATTAAAAAAAAAGAATAAAATAAGGAAACCCCTTACTTTTAGAGAAAAAATCGAGGTAATAAGTTTTAAGCAAAAAATGGTGAATGATAAAAAATTAAAAGTAACATGTCATCCATTTTAATTTTTTTCGACACACCATTTTTTGTGTGCAATTTACACCATTTACATGAATAAATTTCTCAGTGTTGTCAACCGAGGAAGGCAATGTTGTTTTCTTTGATTGACAATGTAGGAAGGTTATTCCAAAAATACAACAACAACATCAACACCATTATTTGAGATTGATTGCAATGGTAAAAAAATTGTTCAAGATAGAAGAACACGATATATTGAAGAAGAAAAAATTATCTTGCAATTCATCCCAAAGAAATGATGCATACGAGTTTGGGGAGGCTACATATAAGTTAGAATTAGGGTAAACTCTATTTAACGAGTGCTTTTATAATAAAATTTGATAATTTTATCACTCGGTTATTACAGAAACTGAATGGATAGATAATTTAGTTTACAAATAAAAATAAAATAAAACGAAAGGTTCCACTTATAAACGGGTGGGGAAGATCAGGAAACACCTTGTCGATCAGCCTACCACGGTAAGTGGTTGGAGTAGTTGATCATCAAATCTTTTTCGACCAGCCTACGAGCATAAGAAGTTGGAGTAACTGATCATTCAATTTCCTTTTCGATCAACCTACCAATGTGAGCAATTGGAGTAGTTAATCATCCAATTTCCTTCTCGATCAGCCTACCATCGTAAGCGGTTGGAGTAGTTGATCATCCAATTTCCTTGTCGATCAACCTACAAGTGTAAGCAATTAGAGTAGTTGATCATCCAGTTTTCTTGTCAATCATCCTACCAGCATAAGCGGTTGGAGTAATTAATCATTCAATTTCCTTGCCGATCTACCTACCAGTGTAAGGTTAGAGTAGTTGATCATCCAATTTCCTAGTCGATCAACCTACTAGTGTAAGTGATTAGAGTAGTTGATCATCCAATTTCCTTGTGGATCAACCTACTAGTGTAAGCAGTTGGAGTAGTTGATCATCCCATTTCTTCGTCGATCAACCTACACGTCATACCCTAAATCCTAAGATCCCACCTATCATTGCATCTCATCAAGATTACAAACATGGTAGCCTTCTAACCCTCTTGTCTTTGGGTTTGTTTTGTGGGAGATCATCAAGAATCCTTTGTGTTTCTTTTTTATTTATGCTTATTTATATTTATGCCTTACTAAAGCTTTATTAAAATACAACAATACACTTTGTTTCCTTTTCTTATTTTGCAAGTTAGGACTTTGAATCTAAAAGAATCAAGATGGTTGCTAAATTAGGGTTTTGTGTTCCCAAGTCAAAGATTGGTCAACAAGTGGTTCATCAAGGCTCATACTTCAAGGCATGAACTATAATCTTAAGTCATATTCATGTCAAGCTTCATTCAGCTCCATTTGGTCAAGAAAAGTTCAAATTTGGTGCTTGGTTTTCAAGTTGATTCAAGATTTGTTCATGAGTTTATTTCCATGCTATATTTCATATTTCTCAAGTTTTATCAAGGATTTATCAATGAAATTCAAGCTCCATTCATTGGGTGTGCATTTGTTCATCATTGTGCCTTGGAATGCAAGAAAACATTAAAAATCACAATTCAGTACACGTTTGGTTGACCTAAAGGCAAGAATGGCATGCCATTTGGTCCAAACACCATAACTTTCTCAATTCTCAACACTTTTGGGTGCTTCTTTGATCCAAATGTCAGATTTGATGTCCTCTACAACATTAATTCATAAGTAAAATATCAATCCAACTTTTAATTCCATCAATTTTTGAAATTTCTCAAAGGCCACATGTCCACAAAACTAGGTTCATGACCTGGTCGACCTAATGTCTGACCTGAAATTTCAGGCCATGAACTCAACTTTTCAAGCATGCCATTTTCATCTCAACCGTTCTTTTGACTTGGTTCTTTTTGCATTGTGTTCTACTCTATAAAAGGAACATTTGGCTCAAATAAAATTTGAAAACGCACGAGTAGATTCCATTTGGCCCAAGCATGAACATGGTGACCATAACTCTATTTTGAACCGTGACCCGTAAATTATTAAAGATGCAAAAACTTACTCGGGACCATTAAAACAATGTGAAAACTTGCACCTTATTGCAAAATGCGTTCACCACTACACAAAACGACCTAAAAATGATCACAACTCACACATTTAATGCCAATTTTTCACACAGTTTAGATCTAGAATTTTCTAAACATGGTTCACACGATTGAGATACAAATTGGCACGTACCATGACCTCATTCCCTTTCCTATAAATAGAGCATTATATTTCCTTCATTTTCAATCTTTGAAAGCCATTAAACATCTGCCATTTTCAAACCCGAAACCTTCAAAAATCAGAAAACCTAACTTCATTTTTAGCTTGATTTAACTCCAAATCTCTACTCTAAATCCTTCATCGGTATCATATGAAGCTAATTGAATCATTACAGAAGTTCAACACCTTCTGCAACCTTCAATTCAATCTCACCATTTTCAGACCTTTGAAACTACTTCGAAAAAGTAGTTACGAGTAAAATCTCAGCAGAAACAAGTTAACACACTCTTCGTCTTGGTTCACTAATCAAAAGCCCTCACTTACCTTGAATTTATATTTCTCTTTTGGCATTTAACTTCACTTTGAGTAAGATAGGTTTTTTGCATATTTCGGCAAATTCTCTCTGCTTGGAGTGAATCAATGGCTCCAATACAGAGAGACATGAATGGTGAATGAAGATGAAGCTTCTACGTTTTGTGATTGAGTTTAAAGATCTAAGTTCATGAGCCTGTAAAAATGGAAGCTAGAGGCTAAAGTTAACTTGCTTCGCAAATTTTAGTTCCAAAATTCAAATTCTAACCAATCACAACGTGCCACCTTGCCAGCTCTTGTGTTTATTTTATTTTATTTTATTTTTTATTTCATTTAATTCCTTTTTCTTTTAAAATCATTTAAAAATAGCTCCAGAAAATTTTTCACTTCAAATTTTTTTCATAATTTCCTAAAAATATTTTCTACCTTATATGTTTTTTGCTTCAAATTTTTAAAATCATTTTTAGCATTTTTTGGTTATTTTATCTTTATTTTCTTTTTATTTAACTTTCATCAATTTTATTTTTATCATTTTTAAACACTTTTGATCTTAACTTTTGAGATATGTCTTTAGAATATTTTTGATTTTTCTATAATTTTTATAGTCATTTATTTGATGTTTTGATGCTACTTTGGCATTTTCTCATTATTTTCCTTTTTAAACCATTTAAAATATTTTTTTAAATCAATTTTAATATTAATTTTAAATTGTTCTTTATGTTTTTGGTTCTGACTTTTGGTTGCCTTTATCAATTGTTGGTGATTGATGATTCATCTTGTTCAATTAGGTTTAGATTGATGCTTGATGAACTTTCATCATTTCAAATCTACCATTAAATGATCATTTGATTATTTTTTATACTTTAGATTGATGATAAATTTGTCTCAAGATATCATGAAGAAAATTTATTGAAGTAATGATCTAATCTCATTGCCTTTGTACTTGATCACTTCTTCTTCTTCTTTTTTCTTTTTGTTTTGTTTTAATCATGGTGTTGCATTATTTTCGGAGAACGACTTTGTATCATTTCTCTAACATGCACTACACCTACATTGCTATAGCCCGGCCTCTTATAGGTGTGACTGCTCCATTGGTCCACTTACAATTGCTTAACATAGCGCTACATTGTCCTGACTCGGTTGAATTGACATTAACATAAACTCTAACTATTAATTGTGTTAACTTTACTTTAATGCAATTCATTTTAAGCCATTTACTTTATGTCATTTATATTTTAGCATTTACATTTGGAATTCTATTTTGCTTCATCTTTTTGCTTTTATTTTTTCTTTTGTTTCAAAACACCAAAAAAACATTAATATATACAAAACCCTAAAAAATACTAGTGTGCTTGAGGACTATTATTACTATTCTTTGCTTATGGAGTTTGGACTTTGACTTGAGACCTTGGTTACTTTCCCTTAGCTTGGATTTTTCATCTGAGACCTAAAGATTCATATGGCCTTTTGGAATCCAAATAAAGACTTGGCCCTATGCTCAGAGACTTTTGATCTTTTGTGGCTTGGTTACCTTGTTTGTTCATCTACGTCTTGTGGTATTCATCTTCTTATTCAACTTGCGGCTTAAGCCCATAGGAAAAGGAATGCTTGTTTGGCCAACGTCAAAAGCTTGCTCCATCTTGTGGTTAGTTCACTTG